TCCGTGCTTCGGACGGCATGTTAAGCCGTTGGTCCCGGCTGCATTTGCAGTCGTTAATACCCTCCAATCCGTTTGGTCAGCGTAGAGGGTCGTGGCCCATCCTCCTTAACATTCCATAAGGAAGGCCTGAGACCCTGCAGTGGGGACGTAAAAAGGCTGGTGATGATGATGATGAGAGAAATATGCCAAAAATTGTCGCGCTTTGGTGGCCAAGGTTATTTAAAATGTTCCTGTAAAAAATCGAATATACAGTGTTCTACTAAAAGATGTGTCTGTAAGAAGCATTCAGTGCTACGTAATTCTAGATGTCATGATTCCTCTTCTTGTCTGAACAAAAATTTAAAAATACTTTGAAAAAAATCAAGATCTCAACTTAGTTGATAAGAATATTTTTTAATAATATTTTTTTATTTTATTTTTATTGTTGTTTTAATTCCAAAAATATGAACATTTTAATTATAGTCGAAATTACTTTAATACATGTTAATATCACAAAGTATTGTAATTAACTGCAGGATACATAAAGTAGATTTTTTAATTAAGATAAAACCAATATAATATTGTTTTATTCAATTATATATGGTAGATTTCTATTTCACTAAGCTTAATCAAGTAATATATTTATAACAATAAACTTAATCTAGTAATATAAGAATATCACTAAACTTGGACCGCTTTATAACTATATTCCTAGTGAGATAGTAATGAATCACTTCCCTATAACTATGTTACGGCATATAATTATATCCCTAGGGATATAACTATATTACGGCTTTATCTATCTTACTGCGACATATATATTATATGAAATGAAATGAAATGAAAATATCTTTATTCAAGTAGGCTATTACAAGCATTTTTGAAGCGTCCAAAATAATTTTTTTTTCCCCTACCACTTGTTCAGGACGTCTTTTAGCTGACAAGAAGAACAAGCGAAAGAAACTTACCAGCTTTTATCATAAGTAATGACATTTACATAAATCATGTCATTACCAAAATAATATGTATTATCACAATAATAAATACAACTCTCAAAGTCTGTAAGACATAGGTTGAACATATTATTAGTCTTTATAGAACAAAGCGAAGGCTATCAATTCCATGCATTGCGATCCTTAAAATAATCATCAACTTTATAGCCTTTACTCATAAGTATATTCTTTAAATAAATCAAATATTATCTATTTCTTTAATAAGTAAGTACAAGTCAGGAAATAGGCTGGATAAACACAAAATCAGCAATATTTAGTGTCACATTAGTAAACAATATGATAGTGGCGTGCGCGTGTCGGCAAATATTGCTATAAGCGAGCACATGACAAAACTCAAATTGATAACATTGTGTAAGTAATTCTGTAAATATTGATTTAACTATTTATTTGAATTGTGTAACGTGAAAATTAATCACGCCTCGAACTTGACCGTTTCCACTATTATTTTCATTAATTTTAATTGTGAACCCAATAAGTTTTGAATTTATCCTTTTTAGTATGAAGCCATTTGAAAGGAATGATCTATTGAATTATACACTCATAGCAAAAATTGTTTTCTCCGAGATAGGCGTCAAAATTCAGGATAATATCAAGCAACAATGAAAGTTGGTAGGTTAAAACATCCTTGCTGGGATTGGGTGTGGAGCTGCGGCAGGATTTCTGGACCTCATACCCTCTTTCAAAAATTGATGGTACTATGAAGGGGATTGAGTGGGTATGCTACCCGCGTTTCGACAAGCCTTCGGGCGAGTCTGTGCAGGTCAAGAGCCACACACCTCTCTGCCGGCCACCCAGAAGAAGGGACAGTGGGTAATGCATTCCCCATATGATAAAAAATATTGAAAATAAGTTTAAAAACACCAAAAGCTACATTTTTTTATATGAAAATTAAAGTGAAGTCATATCACTTCATTTTTTTTTTTTTATATTCATTCATTTGTTTTTGGTCATCTTATGCTGGGTTACACCATCCTTTTTCTTTGTATAGTAAAACAAAATTTTCTCCAGTGAAACTTGGGCGCTTATGGTTAACAGCTAAAGTTATGACGTCTTCTGCTAAATGAAAACAACTCATAAGTTGCTTAACCGGTACTTTAACATGTTTGTTATTGTTAAAGTAAGATGGTGCAACTAACCCTTATGCATTTATTTGTACCTTTTGTTTTTTTTTTATTCTGCGAAAATTCAAATTATACTTTAAATCAGACAGTATTTCCTTGGTGGAGGTTTTTTCTGCTCTCACTCTGCACAACGTCTTCCGATAGAAGAATTATTAATAATGTTAATTTCTGGACTGTAAATATTCATATTTAAATAAAAAAAATAAAAAATTAATACGTTTATGTTGCACCTATAATATTTAAAACGGCTAAAACAATTATAGGACAGTCAAAATTCACCGAAAACTTTTGAATTTTTCGAATTTTAGATATATCTTTATGTACTGAAATACAATTTGTATGTAAGTATAATGATATCATTTCATATACGGCACCATAGAAGCTACATTATTTAAATATTTGTCTCGAGCGAACAGTTTCGCTTTGATCATGAATACATTGCATTTCTTTACCAATTTTGTGACGAAGCAGCGAGGGGAATGAAAAATGTGTTTACTATTTTCCTAGAACAAAATCTAAAAATATTTTAATAACACAATTTAGTGTGAAAGCTATGAGTAAAGCTTTGCATTTGAAATTATACTGGTCTTATTATAATGATTAGAAAACTGAAACTTTCCCCACTTTTACTTAGCAGTAGAAATTGTTATTTATAACGTAGGCTCATGATAAAAAAAAATATTTAAACTATTATGAAATCATATCGAATTCAGTGGGAAGAATGGGCATGCATAACCCACCATTCGGACCCGGAGCGAATTGATGGGTGTTAATGTCTATAAATGCAGCCGAAACGTACCTTTCGAACCATGAAAAGCTCAACATTGTAACATTTTGATCATCCACCCTATGACCGGCCTTTGTGAAAGTCGCTTAACTTCCTCATCACGTTCAAAATAAGTGACCATAATGTTTATGAATTTTATAAAAACAATACGATATACTACACAACTATATGCAGGAACATATTGTTTTAAAACATTCAAAAATCTAACAAGATATGTAATAGAATAAATATTCAAAGTTTTTTTCTTATTAAACTAGAAGCAACGAAGTTTGAAACTTTTGTAGATTTTCATATTGGATTCTGCAAACTATTATTGTATTCTGTAGTCGTTGAATATTGTAGAAAACTAAATTTAAGGTTCGAAATGAGATTTCAGAGTACAACATTCGTGTTCAAGCGAAAGTAATATTTTTCACATTTCGATGAGTTGATTTACTCCGAGCTCTTGGTCGTATGCAATGAGAGAGCAAATAGATGACCTAAAGACGAACGAGCAACGTAAAGAAATAAATTTTAAAAAAAAATTTGAGACCGCTTTAAGGGTAAAATTTAGAAGCATCTACATGTTTGTATATGTTTTTATAAATTATGTGAGATTTCAAATAGGTTATTAATTTTGAAGTTATTAGGAAATAATATAAATTGACCAAACTTTCTGATCTACGAAACATTAAAAAAAAATGCAACAAATATTAGACAAAAATCACATATATTGCTCAGATTCCAAGACGAACAGCTAAAGTTTCCGTGTTATGCATTTTCATAATACCCAGATTCGAGACTATGTAGAAATGTCAAAAAGTCAGTCAGTGATCCAAAACCGAACAAACTATATCTTAATTTAATTTCTTCAATTTTGGTAATTGATTTATAATATTATTCTAATACAGATATACTGAAGAAAGATTTTTTTGTTTGCATTAAATAGACTACGAAACTAAAACGTCACGCATGACATAGGGTATAATAAAAAAAATCTAATTAATACTCTTTGTATAATCTGAAGGTAGACCTGAAAATTTGAATCAAAAAATTATTGACGCAGACCTACTCTGATTGATCATTTTTACGCTGATTTGTCAGTTTGACATATAAAATAGGGTTCCGTTACGTGGTAGAGGCGCAGAAGCTGAGTTCTAATTGACCTCCTCGTATCCTAATTATGTACCATTATTTAAAATAAATTACAACATTTTATATTTGCAATTCTAGACCGATGCGTAAGTCGAACCCCCTTTTCGGCTTTTTTATTTAAAAGCTACGAAATGTAGTTCTAACGATAGTGTTTTTTAAACAAAAAATAATGTCCGTTATGACTATTAAGTAAATTAGGAAATTCATGATTTTTCTATGTTTTTCTAACCTAAAAGATAATGTCACTGACTGACAAAATTGTAAGTGAGGATTGAGTTTATATCTGCATACGCCAAGAGACAGTATATTTTCTATAAAAATCGTACAGTAAGTTTTGAAGGTGTACTACCTTCAAAACTACGATTCCCAATGAAATAAAAAATAGTAAAGCTTTGTCTATTTGTTTTTTAAAACAAAAATTATTCACCTTGAAGGTAAAAAATACATATACTTGAGATTATCATTACAAACCATTCAGCTAGTCAGAACTGACAAATATATGAAGTGACATTCACCCTTGCACACTTGACGAAAAATACCTTTCAAACTTTCGGGATGCGCTTGACGGATTTTCCGTCCAAATTGTACTTACTGACCCTTTAACGATCCGTTCTTTTCTTTTAGGTGAGATTTTACGACAGTTATTTTACTTTATTTTATTTGTTTCAATAAATTTTAAAGAGGAATTCCTCCACTATTAAATTTACATTCCCAAAATTCTATATTTGTTCCAGTTAACACGTATTTTTATGATTAATTTAAGAGTTGTCGAGTTATTGGGACCGTGGCTCTAGGCTCATGTAGATAAATACCGGCTACTTCGACTACACTTATAAATACAACAGTCGCACTTATACGTGATTAGTTCGCTACATCGCGTCCGCCTTTTTAAATATCCATAAAACTACCTAATACCTTTAAAGGGTATAATTTTCTAAGAATCTTAATTCTTAGTTAAAGGTCACAATGGCACCAGGAGTTGTTCAGAATCCTGACACTATAATCAACAATTCCCTTGATGCCATCGCTACAAGTCACAATGGGGACCTCATCAGTGAATTCCTGGCAACAGAATCTATAAAGTCATGCCCCATTGATCATATTAATGGTAGTACCAACTTAAATGGCCAGAATGGTACAGAAATTAATACAATCAAGAAAACCGAAGTGAAAAAAGTCCGGAAGGTAATAAGGCCTAAAGTACTGAAGAACATGGAGTCCATGGAATACCTCTATGATCGTTTATATGAAACTGAGTGCCCTAGAATTGTAAGTAGTAACATTTTTTAGGATAAAGAACTTTATAGTTAAGACTAGATATATTAAAAGGAGAATATGATTTCTTTTTTATGTTTGCCAATGTGAGTTGTTAAGCCATTTAATATTAAATTTATTAGACAATTAGAAAATGATGTTAGTAGCTGCTAAAACAATGTAATTTTATGGCATTTTAACCGTCAATTATTTATTTATATTAGTAGCACCTATTTTTAGAGACATTGTTGTATATTTGACTTGCTGTTTTCCTGTGACTATGCCCGCGTAAATTAAACTTCCGGTAGGAGAAAGAGTTTTCACGATGTGATTAGTATTTCTGAAGATTACCCCTTAAAATAAGCAAACAAAGTTAAAAATGTACGTCTTTATGATAGTTGTATAGATTAAAAAGGTCATAGAGTTATTATAATTTAACTATATGGTCCAACCTGTGGGATCAACATAAAATAATATATTATCTACTAATTTTATGTAACTTTCGCTTCATACTTGTTCTTAAATAAACGTTTTGGTCATAATGTAGATTATTGATGACATGCTTTGAATTTTGAGTCTTTGACTCTTTAAATCCTTAATAATTGGGTAATATCCTCATTGCTCTATTGCTCAACGGTGAAAAATTGAGTGTGAAATTTTGGAATTAGTTTTTATGACGATAAAAACATATTGGTAAGTTGTAAGTCATCTTAAATTCTTTAAACATTGATCTTTTTTTAACAAAATATATTTTGCAAACACAACATTATTTGTATAGTACATAATGATTTTTGATATCTGTGAACTAATTTGCATGGTAGATATTGTATTATTATAACAATAGATACCAGAGTAAATATCAAATTTACCTTTCATTTGTTTTTACAGTGATAAAAATTTCATCTTGTGAGTACACGCCGCTACTTAACTTAGTAGAATTGATAGTTGTAAATTCATTTATACGTTAGTTTTCTTCTAAAAATAAAATATTATTTTATGATATTTTTTAAGGTAGCGTTTTTAAGCAGGATTCTGATTTACAATTTGAAGACACCCTCCTCCAAATAAAAGCGAGCACTACACATTAGTGAAAATAACTCCATGTATATTATAAACCCACATGAAGGTTTTATAGACCAATGAAAAATCACCTTTATAACTATTGTCAAAAGCACAAATTGCCAATTTAGAAGCTACATCTTTAAGTACAGTATTTGCCTTAATGATATCATGTCTCTTGGCTTTACTGATTTTTATTGCTAGCCGATAAGTGTGTTGCGCCTTGCGACTATAATCAATATGTACGTAGGATTAGTAGGAAAATACAGTAAAAATACTACGCACGGTATTTCTAATATTCACGGTTCGTTAACAAAGTGTTTGTCTTATCTGACTTTATAGCTGAAGAACGAAGGAATAGATTTGTTTACATTGAACTATGTATTATTTATTTGATATATATTAGGCCGCGTGCAGATGGTCACAAGATGACACGACAAGGTTGAAACTTATTTAGTACGAACGCACATACGAGGGACACAGCAGTTAAATATCGATCAAATATATTGCCAAATTAAATATAAGTATAAATAAAAAAGACTGAGAAGCACTGATAAGAAAATCAGCAACAGCTTGTACTGGACTTACTTTCTTTCAAGTTCAATCGAAAAATTAATTCATTACACTGTGAAGTCACTTTCACTACAAATTTAAGAAATCCCAATAATGCTTTGGGCAGTCCACTAAGTGGCATTATAAATGCATAATAAAAGATACAGCTTTACGCACACTATGGACGGATCGGCCTCGTGAGGTCTTGTTGGCTAAAGAAATATTCATTTTATTTATTGCAAATTTCGTGAACAAGCGTTTAAACAGTAGTGCATTGATTGAACGTAGCATATACTATGCAAACAATAACTTCTATATATTAATAACTACTTAAGTATATCGTTCTTAATTATCGTCTCCAAGGCAAACAAATACTATGTATAGCTCTGTTTTTTAAATACAAAGTAAAATAAAACGATAACTTACTAACAGAAAAGTATAAACTGTAATGAAGGATGAAATGGAAATGAGGCTTATAAAATTTGAATAATATTTGTTAGGCTATATTACAATTTGGGGACTACAGAAATAAACAACAAGAAATTATAATATACACCTAAACTTTAAGTTTTAATTAATTAAAACAATTACAGTGCTAAACTTGCTAAAATTGCAATTTTAGTACTAGTCCAAATGCATATTATACAGAGAATAAGCAAAACTGCTACCTCCTAGGAGTAAATATTACTGTCGTAGAACCTCGTACTAGGTTAACCTTTGCCAAGTCACTGTTTAATAATATGTTTTTTAATAATACTGATAAACTATGTACAAATCTTACCCAGACTTAAACTATAAAATAGTTATGTGAGACCCCAGTTAATGGTAATGTAATTTGAATTTATATTAAAGAATAAATAAATTAAACATAAATTTAAAAGGAATATTAAGATTATATTAAATATCATATTTGCATATAGCCACTTAAGACAGAACGTGTTATTGTATTTACTGAGAGATTTTATATTTTTTTTATATAACTGTATTTAATATTCTTTTCAGAAATATTTCTGAATGGAAATAAAACCTTTATCTAAAACTTAACCTACTTAGTGGACTCACATGATAGTGGAATATTTATTTCGCGTTATACTTGCAGTTCGGAACTTAGTCGGCAGTGGAACAGCCTCAAGGCACCTCCATGCAAACTAACGACTATATGTAAACTTGCAAGTTCCGTAAGGAATACGGAATAAACGCAGTTTAAAAACTCAAATCGTTGCGTTGTGTGACCTGATCCGACAGTGACTATTTTAAAATATTAAATGTTGTAAAAAACATTGTTACTTTGCTTTTAAAAAAATATGATATGGTTAGTTTAGACTGTCAAAAGATGTCTCTGATATTATAAAAAGTGGATATTTTAAGAATTTTTCATTAATTATAACGATTCATCAGTTTGTGTGTCTCAAGTGTAGTAGTAAGTTTTATGATAAAATAACTTTACTTGCAATTATACCCTTGTAAATTGTAGCTTTTCACTAGCAGCTTCGAGCGCGTGGTCCTTTATTATATATACATATAAACCTTCCTCTTGAATCACTCTGTGCATTGATTAAAACCGACAATACAGACAGTGGAAAGCGAATGTATTTTATACTAAGTAATATAAGTATATCAATAAACTTGGACCGCTTTATAGCTATATTCTTAGTAAGATAGTAATGAATCGCTTCCGTATAACTATGTAACGGTATATAATTGTATCCTTAGGGATATAACTATTTTACGGCTTTATCTATCTTACTGCGACATATACATGTCACCCGCGTATGATGAAACTTCCCGTAGATAAAAGAATTTTCAAGATCGGACCAGTATTTCCCAATATTGTCCCCTTTAAACAAACCAAGTAAGAAAGCTTTCTTATAATAACCTCTTTATAATATTTTAGTTATTTTATAATAATTATTTATTCACAAAAACTCTGTTTATGTAGAATATATAAAAGTTGTTGTCTATATTATTATATTTAAATAAGAGTTTAATAACAAATAAAGGATGCGTGTAGCCACCGTATCCGTGTGGTGGTAAATAATAACTTAATAAACATTATGTATGTTAGCAACTCTTGTTTTCTCTTGAAGTGTAAATGAAAAATTTATATTAAATATAAAAATAGATTTTATTTTAAGGAGAACAAAGTGCAAGATAATTATGTTGTGATTGCATATAAAAATTGGAATGATTTTTCAAACACGAATATTATAATAAATGTTTACCATTATTTTTTAAAATTTGTTGCATTTTTAATCAATCGCTCGATTAGTTTGCCGCCTTCTTATAACAAATGCATAATAAGTATTTAGTATGCCATGAAAAAAACTAATAAATATACTATATATATGATAAAGGTAGGATTTTCATCATCATCTGGAGGGCGGTAAAATTCAAACTTCATTTTATCATAATTCTGAAAGTAATAATGATATTATGTCGAGTCGTTTGTAAGATTATCACAGCAGCTCGCTGCAAAATCTATAAGAAAACCAGTAAGAATAGTGTTTACATAACAAGTTATTTTATTTGCTCGGCTTCTTCATGGAGTTTGATTCATATTGATTAATTGGTAAAACATGAAGATATGCAGATATTTAAAATGTTGTGGATTCACTTTTTAAGTGGAAAGATGACATAACGGAGTAACGTTATATCACAAATTATATAATAATAATTTATTCATAAATTACATTGTTCCAAATTTGGTTAGTATTACAGTGTATTTAGAAGTGATGTTAGCGGTATAATAGAGCTAATATTACATTGTATATGTTATAAATCTTGAATGTATTGGTTTATATTCAGAGTAAAGTTGTGGCAATATTTCATTCGCCGAGAATGAAGAGATTAGGTTGTGGACCTACATGCAAACCAGGGCGTGAATCGTCGACGGCAGGCGGCGAAGGGTGCCTACTACGAATCTAGATTCGATAATCAGGCAGTGTTCGTTTTATTCCTTTACAGTTGATTTTCAAAAAGCGAACAACTTTGACGGGTAGTTTATTTCTAATTCGCTTTGTTAACATTTATTCTTCATAGAATTTGAAGTATACTCGTAAGCTTTTTATCGGTTTAACAACATTTTCGATTACTAGAGCAAATTCTTTTCAATCGCTTCATTACTCGGTCTTTTTTGATTACTCCTCCTTTCATAAAAATCTATTAGACTATTTTGAAGTGAATAAAGCTAATAAAGAAGGCGAAAAACATTTCAGTAGTTTTTTTACACATTTTGTTATGATTGGTTCTAAAATTTCTACATTTTTAAAATAGAAAATGATGAATAATGTAGATTATTAGAACTCAATAAAAGAACTAGAGTATCAAAACTTCTGAGATATAAGAATCATGATCAGATAACATTTCCTTTGAATTATGTGACGTGATGATGTTACCTATAAATACCTCATTGTACGAGTGTATGTCTGCACACATATGTTATGTCTAAGTGATGTTGCCGTCAGTTGATGGCGCCAAAAATACATTTAGGGTTAGTTGCACCAACTTAGTATATGAATAACAGACATGTTTAAGTACCGGTTAAGAAAATAATAATGAGTTATCATTTGGCTTTAGGTTGAATGACATCATAACTATCTGTAAACTATAACTGCCCATCTACTTAAGTAATAGTCCAGTCTAACCTGCGGTTGCTTGGAATTGTATCGATTATCCTTTTATTTATGGTGTACGATAAAAGTATTCATTAATTCTTTAAGTTACGCATTAATTGGTTAAAGTTTTTGTTTAAATAAGCCAAGAAAGAGGTGCAACTTATTCCACAATGAATGTCAAAGTCGCCCGGATTGCGATAGGTCTTGAGTTCGAGTCCCATTTCAGAGTGCCAGGGACAAAGTGGATTTTTAAGTATTTTTCATTATAAAGCATTACTTTAACTGTAATTATGGTGCAAACGAGGCTAAGAGTTCGAAAAATAATGTAAAATTTTACAAACTAGGTAGAATGCCCTACTACAAAAAATAAATGCTATAGTTGGACAATATTCTTTCAATAAGTTTTTTATAAGATCTACTTATCATTCGTTGGACTTTTTCAGAATTTTCTATTTTAATTTTTGATATTAATTCCCATTAAAAATTTAACAAATGTTTATATCAAATTTTGAATATTTATGCCTAAACTTATGTTTGGAATAAATATTAGAGTAGTTTTAACTGGAAATAGAAATTTGAGTCTCGTAATTAAGGGCGTAGAAGTTTTTAAATCCAATTACAACTTTAGTTATTGACTAAACAGGAGTGAGATACTTGGTCGTTGTCCTGAAGGACATTTAATATGATGATGCCGATATTTCATATATTAAACTTTTTATGGTTTTTTAATTTACTAACGTATGCAAGTAAGAAGATTTAACAGAAATGTCATTCAAGGAAAGTAACCAAATATGGACTTTAATCCATAATACGTGACTTCAACTTCATTTTTTTTTCAATAGGTCCAGAAAATCTGAAACTGCTTACGAATTTGCTTGGCTTATGTCAACTTTTAAATTTATAACATATAGAACAACTTTGTCATTATATTTAAATACTATTGGGAATATATTAAGGATACTATTCAATATTTGGTTACTTCAAAAATATAAATAGAGTTATATTATTTATTTATTCCGTATTTGAGCACTTTTTATTTAAACTGTATATTTTTATTTAATTGTATCATTATACAAATAATATGTCGTTGACAAAATCGTATTATACAAATTATAATTTTAAAATTATAAACTTTTATTTTTTTTTTGTCAACAGCCAACATTATGCAACGAAAAGTCATGCTTGGGCAGCGTTATGGCTATCCCAGGTCGGGGAGATGTTCCACGAGAACAGGAGGAAGTCCTCAACGACGCAAAGGATTTCTTAGGACAATACTTCGCTTCGATCAGGAGGTAGGCAGATCTAGCCATTTAGATTGTAGGGTTAATGACGTGGTTACTATTTCGAATTCAGCGAAGAGCAAATTGTGCGTTTTATGTATAACGGTAATGTTTTTATTAGTGTGAATATTAAAATTGTGAATATTACTCTATACTAATACAAGAGTTTGACAGTTTGTAAAGGATTATCTTTGGAAATACTTATCCTATCATGAAAATTGTTTTATCTACGGAAAACTACTACATATTTATACTGATTTGCAGTTATTCAACTCAGTAGGGCAAAATAATGTGAAGCTGCTCACTTGACCGGAAGGTCTTGTTGTTTTTATTATGTAAAAATTTTTTTTGGATGTTTATTTTCTTACTGGATTCATTGGTTTGAGTGTCTCGGAGTTAATTATTGGCCATTTGTGTGAATCTATAATTGGTTCTATGCTTCATAATTTGTTAACATTATCATTTTGTTTCAATAAATGTTGATTCATCTATGTTAATAAAAAAATAAATAAAAAATTAGGCGGCGATTTTTGTTAATTGTTTAGAGCCAACACCCCAGCTCATGAGGCTCGCTGGGTTGCAGTGCAGGAGGAAGTGGCGAAAACGGGCACATATCAATTGACCACCACAGAGCTGGTGTTCGGGGCTAAGTTGGCCTGGAGAAATGCCAGCCGCTGTATAGGAAGAATACAATGGTCTAAGTTACAGGTAATAAAATTATCAATAAATGAGGTTTCATTTATTTTAATAGACGTTTAAACCTCTCTTTTAGCTAGAGGCGGTTTTGCAGGTACGGCCTCCTTAGGCCATGTAGAATTAACCGCCCCTTTTTAGATATCATAATTTAGGTACTGCAAATAAAGTTTCTTGACAAACTTTATTGAAATACATTCATAATGGTATTTGTGATTAATTAAAGATATTTCATAGATAACAGGGAGCATTCAGCTTTTGGCATATATTATTTCATATACTTTTGGTCATTTCTTGTTATCGTCAGTATATTTTATGCCATTATTGGTTGTCCTAGGCCCGGGCTTAAGGGTAAATCCCCCCAGTAGCTGTAGATATCCTTAAATTCTCAGATTTTATTCACTTAATGTTTAATTCGTCAAGATACTTTGATTTCATATTAGCTTATCTATCTAGAGGTATCTTAATTAATAGATACGTGTTGTATCTAGAGTCGAGGGAAGTATTTACTAGACAAAATGGCATAACTTAAGCAGAGTTTTATAATCAAGAGACGAGAATTTAAATGAAATAATAACTATTAATAGCTAATAATAATAGTATTCTAACTATTAGCAGATCTTACTTCATTCAAATTCTTGTTTAATTGTGAAAATTAACTGCTTAAGTTATTACTTTTACTCAAGTGAACTTTGTCAAAGATTTAATTGCATAATACCTTAATTAATCCTAATCATACTTAATTTATTGAATACAACTAAGTGAATTAGTAAAATTAAATAAATTAAAAATCTTTCATTACACTAACTGTGTACATTTGTTTAATAAAGAATTAACAATTATTATAAACATTTAATGCCAAGTAAAACCAAGTAATATTTTTTCATATGCAAGGAAACGAAAGGTAAATCTAACTTATATTTATTGATACGTAATTTGATATTGAATTTCTATTGTTACTTAACTTAGTAAGTTTAATTACCAAAACAGGAAAACTGTCGGTTTTTACTGTAGCCAGAAGAAAATAAGTAATTAAGGAACCGACGACCCTCGTATTTCGGTGCCTTGAGGAATGGCATGAGGGTTGCGAACTCCATTTCCTTACGAGTGTTCATGTTATTGAAAATATATAGATAGCAAACGACATTAGAATTAGAGTGGAATGAGAAATCACTCACAAAATACTCTAAATGGAAATCACTTATAAATACACTTAAATGTATTGAAAAGGCGGCTCGCAATTTTTTTTATCGTATGATATCGGTGTAACCGTTGTGAGAACATTTTTAATGTAATCAATAAAAAAGTTGAAGTTTCTTAATAAGAATAACGTATCTAATATATATTATAATAAAGAAGTTTTTAAAACTACAAATCTGAGATACCTATATGTTTTCAAAGTTTAATAAGCGCAATAGAGTTATCTTTTATCTAATTATTCAGAATACAGATATTTATATGCACTATTGTACAGCGAAAACGATTTCTTTCAAGTAAAATTTAAATTTGGAAACCATAAATTTTTGCTTCCAAAAAGGTCGCAAGTTACACGATTACATGGCAAGAGTTTAAAAAAGTATTACAAGTGATTCTACACCCAAGGAGTCTTTATATCAGAAAGGCCTATTCTATTTTGTAGCCTACTGAATAATAGAGAGTGTTATTCTTTCCAATTTCTTTGTAGTCAAAGTGCTTTTGTATCGCCGTATCAAAATTTCCTATGAAAAGGGAATTCTCTAGATATTCATTCATCGGTAATTGTAACTACGCGAAAAGACAGCCGTTTTATTTCAGAAACTTTGATATCATTGTACATTATCAGACAATGAAATTCAACAGATGGAAAAAATAATTGAGAAAGACAAATATTTTATCAAAATCGCGAAGAGTTATACGCGTTGACAGTCATAGTCAAAATGGCGAAGTTATTTGTTTTCTTTTTACGTAAATCGGGCAAAGTACGCAACAAGCTTTTATGTAAAATTGAATTACTTAGTGTCCAATAAGAAACAACTACGCAATATGGTCTTCACGTGACATTTTATTTGTTTGAAGATAATAATATTACTAACATATGAATACAAAAGAGTCATCGTTTAGCTTACCGTGTGTCATAAGCAAAACTTGTCTACAGAAGTTTAAGCAAAGTGATGAGTTGGAAAATATTATACTTAAATTAATTGTATAATGAAAGAATTAATGAATGAACTTGTTCATAAAACAACTTAATATTTCATCATCATTGTCATCATTATCACCTGTTTTCATAGCCCCGGTGTAAAGGCTCAGTCCTTCCTTATGGATGGTTAAGGAGGATGGGCCATAACATTCCTTGAAAGCTCAATGCGAATGACTGCAAATGCAGCCGCGATCAACTCTTAGCGTGCTTTACGAAGCACAGAATAGCTAAAGATAATATATATTTTTTTGGTCACTCATCCCGTTACCGACCCTTGGGAAAGTTGCTTAGCAACAACGATCGCGGGCCGCAGCGCTTATTTTATTGTACTACGCCACCGAGGTACTCAGAATATTTATTATGTTCAATTGTTAAGATTTCAGAAGTTAATATTTTTTGCTGTTTCATCATAAACAGCGGTATTCTAAATACCTATGCCATATTTCTTTTAAAGATTTTAATATTCTTTTTGCTATATTATTGTACTGAGAGCATAATACAAGAGCCACAATTCTCCAAATGAAAAAACGTTCAATCAAAATATTTTTCTAATTAAGTCCTAATAGCAACGGGTAGGCATTCGACGGCAGCTGTAATGACATTAATTCATTCATTCATTCGTTCCATCCCATTCAGTTAGCTCGCGGTTCGCGGGGAGTGACTTAGAACGGCATTACCGGTCCTTACTGCTAAGGCCTGTTGATGTTCGCGAAATACATTTTGTAATTACGCGGCTTTAGTAGATTGCTTGACTTAATCGTATTGGAATGAATTGTGTTACTCAAGGGCTCGGGTGTTCGATTTGTATCCTATTATGTAAATTGAAGAACTTTTGTCAATATTTTTATTATGTTGGGCTTACAAATAGTAATAGTAATTATGTTTTCAAATAATTTTAAAATTGGTTTAAATATGATAAAAATCAAAGGAAAGCAATCGAATATGAAATATTAAATTTTCTGTATTTATTTCAAATTGAAAACAATAAGTTCAGAAAATTCGCGAACTGTTTACGGATTCGCTTCGCTAATTTCAAAGTGTATTTAAAATATAAAGAATATTTTAGGAGGTAATTGTTGTGTTCCATTTTAGGACAACAATGAATTTAAAAACATTTAAGACTTTGTTTAGTGGGATAAAATGCCTATGTTAATTCAGGCTTGGAATTATTTGTAAACTAAATTTCGTCTAAATCCGTTCAGTAATTTTTACGTGGAAGAATAATAAACAAACCATACTTTCGATAAGTTTACTTTAAAACACAACCCTTAACGCAGGAGTCGTATATTTACATTGTCGTTAGTCTTGGCAGAGGGATTTCGAGATGTACATCGGTAACAGCCCAACTTGCTAATTCGACAGTGAATGATGTGACGTCACTCAGTGACGACTCCTTAGCGTTGTACTTTTGTACTGACAACTAAATAATGAATCGATGTTTCTTATCTCGAAACTTTACGTTAGGCTTCGGAGAATTTGTAACAGGTACACTGTTACAATGTGGTGTCTTTAGGGATACTTTCTTCTAACTTCCATAAAAACTAATAAGATTTTCTATTAATTTTTTATAAAGTTTCATTGTTAGTAATGTATTTTTAGTGCTACTTATAAAATGTTTATCGTTTTTCTTGAAGTAAAAGAAAATTGTTTACACTAGTAGATTATACAAAACTTTTAAATAGTTCCTCCCACCCTCTATTCAAGACTTTAGTATGATTAGGTAACTCTCATGAAAGGCTACAAGAAACTCCGTTACTTTTACGAGTTCGGTTTCGGGATAAAAATCAATATCACATTTTATTTACTTAATCAAATTACAAAAAATAAACCAATAACAGATTTCAAACTTCAACTCTAATATTCAAGTTACTACGGTTACTTCTCAACATTATTGGATCGTTCCGATAGTTCACTTCACTAGTTTTCTCTTCGAGTTTAGCTTTCGATCGCTTTCGTATTCAGTTCACTAGTCACTGAAAGAATGCCGGGACAGGTAGTCCACCGCGTAATTATAGGGGCCGATACCACATCTAGAATGTTCTAGGTTAACATTCTAGGTTGGCCTTCGCCCTCCCGGTGTATTTAAGGCATTACCAACAAGTTCTAAAACAGCTACTCGTCTCTTTCTTCCCCAGTGACCGTCTTTTTCTCGCCGGCCCAATGTATACCTATATGACATACGTAGTTTCGTCAGTATTAATGCGAATAATTGGCGCGGAATATCGGATTTTCACAATATCGATTCGAAACTATATATCGATATTCCAATTCCATTAAGTTTTCCGTAAAAAATATATACTTTCTGTGCACATCGATGTCGTATACAATACGTTTCACTATCTATATGTATACGATTTGTATCGCCCACTGCTAATTGGCGCATAACGCCATCTAGTCATGTGTAGACGAGCCGCGCCGCTGTACTCCGTAACAATTTCAAAACATAAATTATATAAATCGCGTATAATACTGCTGGATATTTACAATGTCAACATAAAAATTATAATTCAAAAAGGATTGGCATTCTTGTGCTACCTAAATGAGACAAAGCTTTTAACAGAAAAAGCTTTTCGCAAATATTCTTTTATTGAAATATTGGCAGCAATATGTCTTTGCGAGATCTGTGATTTCTTGGAATTCGCATTCGCATATGCGGTGAATCGTAAACGAAACTGTGGAGCTACTACGAAAAAGTAGCTACGATAGTCTGATGATATGAAACTATTTAATTTCAGTGGTGATTTAAAAATTTTCGAGAACTTGAAAGTGCCATTAAAATGTGAACAGAGGAGGTTCTCTAGTCGAAGCATATTTTTAACTTTAAAAAACTAGTCAGGTTTTGGTAACCTATATTTTTATAGGACGTATTTTTTCATTCGAATCAGATCGGTAGTTTAATTTCGTTATGGAATACTCGAAAAGTAGGAGCGAAAAGTCGAGCTTCTTGATACTTGATTATCAAGAAGCTCGATGGTGCAATGGTTAGTACGCAAAAGTTATGCAACTTTCACAACGACCGGTCAAAGGATGGGTTACCAAATTTTTTTGTCTCTAGCTTACTCCAAAAATCCACATTGAGCTCGCGTTGTAGTTCATGGCCATTCTCCCTGTATATTCGATTCCCCAGCAGTGGGTATTTTTTTAATTATTAATGATGATGATTCGATAAGTAACAAGACATATCGAAACCTACATTTTTGGCTTTGTTTAAAAAGGCGAGTAAATTATAAAAAGCGGTACAACTGATTAGCATAAAAGGTCACAATCGATTATGAATTGAAAACTCGTACGAAAATAGATTCAAAACTGACAATTTTGTGCGTCTGTTGTAAGCCTTAACAACGTTACAGTTCGTCACTAAACAACATCAGCAATCTCGATTATGAGACGTAGTCAATCTCGATTATTAGAAGCAGTCACGCATATCCGTAAGCTTCTGGGAACGACTCACGTACAAGCGTTTTGTTTTACGATTGTATGGTTCTTTTATTGCGTAAAAATACAAGTATTTGCGTAGATAACAACACCACTGCGAAGATATTTGGGCGATAATACAAAGCGAACGAACCACCTTTGTTAGATAGAAACGATAATAAGGTTCATAAACAAAACAAAAATTAATGCCTATTGTTATTTAGAACATACTACGCTTTTGTTTTTTAATCTGTACTTGATTTATGATTATAGTTATAAATTCTTTTGTTTTCCCTTAATAGGTAATATAGCTGATCTGAGCTATTTAATGAAATAATAAGTATTATATGCTCAGATTAATTTGAAATTATCAACATTTTAGACATGGACGATGGTACGAAATATAATAAAATTTCTAAAATGTAATAATGAAAATGGTTTTTAAAACATTTTCGTTTAAAGTTATGACATTAAATTAGTACCTAAACCGCAAGAAAAAGTATTTATCTATAGTCCCCTTTTAGCCATTTGGGACTTTGAGGCGTCACGAATTAATTACATTACCATATACATACACGGTCTTTAAAATATTGAATTATGCGCTTGCCAGCTGCGGTATATTAAGATTCACTTCTCTCTATCTTTTAAAATGACCAAAATCGGCTCATCTGTCATACACAAAAATTTTGTTGTTGTATAATAGCTGGCTTATTATAACAGAACTTCATTTTTGTGTATTTTGGGAAAGTTCAAGCTACTATTCATAAAGATACAGCTTTAAAGCCAATAAAAGATAGGATATATAGGTTTTAAATAAAAATGAAGTTTTCTTTTCATGTGGAATATTTTTAAACGGCACTGGCATAGTAAAATATACAGAACTTAATGCTTTATTTATTGAAGCAATTTATCCGGAAAAGGTAAACATAAAACACTCGTGTAATTCAACTATTATTCTTTAATAATGAGGCGGGGTTACCAAAATTTCTCAGCACCTACTCACACCAATACCGCGGTGTTAATTTACGACCATGTAATTACGCATCGTGCGGCGTGTGCTAATTAAACATGTTACCATTTATCGACATAGAATGGAAGTGCCGAGCACCTGTATTGGTGAATCGGCTCGGAAGAATAATCGAAAAACAATATACCATATATCACCTAACATATTCTCGTACTAATTACCTTTATCAATAAGCAATACAAATAGTACTTTGGTATATAAGTCAACAATATGCTGTTACTGATTAAAATTAGGAACTGGTATCTTTTACCGTATAACTTGCAGTAGTGACAGCACGATCGATTGATGAAAGATTTAGAAACGTCAAAACTTGTAATCGAGATGAGTCAAGAGCACTTTATCATAGAGGTTTTTAAGTCGCAACATTGATCTTAGGTCATCGTGATGTCAAGTATGTATGGATAATAAAACCCATGACGTTCTTAAAAAGAGACAGGAAGCCAAGAGACTGTCCCTATCTTAATTTGAAAGTAATAGATATGGATAAGGGATATCCAATTGTGCTTTAAAAATATTTTATATGATTCGTTTTCTCATTATGAATAAAAGCTTATTACAACGTATTTCTTTGTATAAAATCAGTTAAAGTTTGTGATCTTAAGTGTACGCGTTCTTTTAAATACAGAAACTAAGTTGCGTTACTTTAAAACGTTACGAATAAAACGCCTGTGAAAAGGCTTTTAACACAGGTTCTAAAGAAATTACACGGTACGTGACAGTGGCTCAATTGTAATTAAGAACATTTAGCCACAAAAAAGATGTAATCTAAATAAACAAATATGCAATTTAACCATTAACATTTTGTCATTATCAGATACCTCAAACTTGTCTTTCTGTTTTGGAAGAGCGGTAGAAAATTAAAAATTTATCAACGAAGATGATTGCATCTGTTCTCAAGTTTTGACAGTTTAAAAGAAAAGGTGTAAATTGTACTCATTTGGTCTAAAAATAGTTGTATTCACAGTATTTATTGGTTTTCATCATGTTTGAGGGTGAACTTACAACAACCAAATAGCTCTATAAGAAAGTGCTTATTCGCTTTAAGAAGTAATTTCTTATGTGACAACCGCAGCGTGTATGATTGCGGCGTTGACCCTACTTGAAAGTACCTCAGTTTATGTAAAGGTCAAGCGTAAATCGTAGGAACAGCAATCGGGATGCCACTTACGGATCTGTTATGGAAATGCTGGAGAGTTCTTTCAATTTTCCCCTTATTACGGCAAACCCTGAGTCCCATGTCTGTCAGAATGAATTTTCCCTTTTATCATCACGGCACAATCGTTTGCTATAAAACTTTATACGATTTAGAGATTTCATTTTTTTTCAAATGCCTAATAATGTCTTTGAACATATTTTTTGCAATCTCAACAACTAACCACAACAAAACAATTATTAGTATATTTGAAATATCAATCTCATACTTTATTGTGATTTAATTATAAATTAACTATTCAGTGAGAAAAATATTGTCCTGTGTCTAAAAAAACACGCAAAAAGATCATAAATTATATCGAATTCGTATTTTTAAGTAAGATTTATTAAAACACAATTCTTTTGTCAATAAAATGTATATTATTTTAAGTTCAAATAATCCAGTTGAAATAATAATCATATTTTCATATAGCGTCGATGGATTTCCGTAAACAATATTTATTTGTGCAAGATAAAAGCTTTGACGTCCTTATACTTTATTGTGATTTTTGCCGATTCGATGTCGCAAAAATATGACCTTTTTCTTTTTCTCTATCTTACAATAAATTAAATTCTTGTGCTATTGATTTGCGACAAAATTCAATAACGTCTAGACTTAACGAGCACTTATGAAAGTCGAGAAGTTACGGTAATGTTTTCTTAACTTTGTCATTACATTTCATCAAAAGACATTTAATTTCATTCGAGAACAGATTACTTTGAAATTTAGATATAATAATAAACTTATACCTCAATACTATATAAAGAGATTAATCAAATAATAGATTTAAAATTATTGTTTAAATGCTAATGTCAGATAAGTGTATGATAGTGTCAAAGTCAATTAATTTCATTCAAAAGGGTAGGATTTATGTTTGCCATATTTTTGGATTGTCCATTTATTCACACTGTTCATTCAAGAATTATATATTATTCGGTTTTATAACTAAAGCATTTGCCAATGTCATTACTATCTAATCACTAGTCTATCACTGGCCCCACTGCTGTGGCACAGGCCTTCCTTTGGAAATAATCGAATTGAGAATAAGAGAAGGCGTTATTATCCTCCACGCATGTTTTTTACAGATTGCTGGATCTTAACGATAGGAGTTACAGCTGTGACCAACAATTTAACTTGACTTTCGAAACACGGAAGAGCTTAAGATCAAAAATTTTTGGTCACCCATCCTATTACAGGCCCTTGAGAAAGTTGCTTAACAAGCTAATCATTATGCCATCGAGCTCCCCTCCCACTGCATACAAAAAAATATTATCATATTTTTTGAAAGTTTATCTAAAATGATTTTTAAACATAATTTCTTGACATTTTTAAGGTTTTCGACTGCAGACAAGTTACTACTACAAGTGGTATGTTCGAAGCTCTTTGCAATCATATCAAGTACAGCACAAATAAAGGAAATATCAGGTTAGTTTACACATTTAGAATTCTTTGGTCCCACTGGAAGGATGTTTTATTCATCAAGCTTGCTATTTATATATACAACTGTCCAATCAAATATTAAATTACAGTAGCTATTTATTTTACACAAAAAATCATTCACCTACCACAGAAGAAAACATAGTTCGACATCAAAAGCTTAAAAATAATCATCCAACTTTTTAACAGTTGAATAAAAATAAAAATCATAATTATATATTTTTATTTCGAACAGATCAGCGATTACTGTGTTCCCTCAGCGTACTGATGGAATGCATGACTATAGAATATGGAATAGTCAGTTGATCAGCTATGCAGGATACAGGCAACCTGATGGCACAGTCCTCGGTGACCCCATGCACTGCGAGTTTACAGAGGTGAATAGATAAATTTAACATTTGAAATCTATATCGACCTAAATGGATATTAGATAATGTTCCCTTTAGTTTCATCGCATATTATATAGGCGTGCACAGTCAGCAGGATTGTGAAAGGTCTTGGGTTCGAGTCCCATCTAAGCGTGCTAGGGGCAATGTGGAATTTTTAAGTATTTTTATTAAGTTTATTTTTCAGTATAGTATTGTGATTGCAAAATTTATCAAATGTCGTAAAAAATATGAAGTTCAAAATATTGAATTATGTTTTACAAATAACCCTGTATACTTAAGAAGGCGTACTCGTCCAAGACGATCTTTTTTTTTACAGTTGAAACACATAATGACTAAAGAGTTTGTTAAAGTATCTGTAGCAACACATGAATAATATATAAAAACTATCTTAAGTTTGTATATTTGTAACAGGGACTGGCAAAGCCAGTCTTCTTCTGTCCTTTAGGGGCACGCCTCCCATCCAATAAAAAACTACCACTTATAATTTATATTTAATTACCTTTTGGGAATTTAGAGTTGTATCATTTGCGAATCAATAAATTGACTAAAATATATACATAAAAGTCCATTGTTTTATTACTATTTCTTTTATAAAATATATGGGGTGGGACTAAATAGTTAAGTATTTCAATGAACTTATAAACCTACCATAATAATATCAATAACCGTAATAGCAAAGAAGTGTCAGCTGAACATTTTAAACGTCAATTTTTTGCCATAAAATTACGAAAACCACCCAATGTTTATATATGAAAATAAAAAACGAAAGTAAAATGGTGACTTAGAAAATAATATGGATAACTTAGAAAACTTACAGTTCAAAAATATGACGTTAATTTATCGATCATACGCGGATATAGCCTTAATACGCGGTTAACAGCTTTTTATGGTACAGGGAACTTGAGTTAAAATATTTTCGACATTGTTAGTTAATTTATGGGCACACTGTGAATAAATCACTTTATACTTGACACACTGGCCTCACACGCGCTCTGCCTCGTTTTACAAGCAACGTTGTCAGTTAATTATACTTAGATATTTGAAATTATTTTTATTATAAAATTTTAAACAGAACTTATTGATCCAAATACCCGAATACAAATAGAAAATCAATATTTTGAATGTAGAACAAAATTGGGACTTCGTTAATAAAATATTATAGGAAATCCTAATTCTAATGTTAGTATGATTTTTAGAACTTACAAACTTAATGAAAAAACGTACCTAATATTAGAAACAAAGGGTGGCCGATTTTTTAAACATAAATGTTTCCCAAGTACAGCATAATATTATATGCAAAATATTTATTTTATTTTGAAACTTCAAAAATCGTTATCTTTTAAACAATTTACATTTACTAATTTGCTGCGAATAAAATATGATTTTTTAATGTTTAGTCGTGTTAATTAATATTCAAACGAGAACATTTTTTATATCAGTATATTCATTTATAGTTGTGCTTGAAACTTGGCTGGAAATCACCGCGCACTGCTTGGGATATTCTGCCATTGGTTCTGTCCGCCAACGGGAAGGACCCGGACTACTTCGAGATCCCCAGAGAACTCGTCATGGAGATACATATGACTCATCCAACGTAAGTGATTGTTTCAATTACAGAATATAACCAATATTAGAGAGGATACTTGATTGTTACAAGACGTAGAGATACATCATTAAAAATAAATAAATTATTATAGTGAATTTTTATTTATACTCAAATGTACTATAATTATTGTCATGTATTATATGTAAAGATTTGTAAAGACATTAGAAATGTAGAAAATTTTTCACAAATGAACAAAAGAAACCGTGTTTCCTTAAATTATGGTTCCCATTTAAAATCCTAAAATCAGTACTTTGTAATGCTAGTTACAAGCATATATGCTTTTTCGCCTCAAAAACGTGTCATATCAAAAGCTTTCGAAGAAACTTGATCAAGATTTACTTAAATACATTAATTTCTGAATGAAAATTCTTATGCACAAAATCACATAAATTTCCAGATAAGTTTGCAACTATTTCGTAACAAAACACGAGAGGCGTGGAAAAGGTCGGTAAAAAACCCTGTGCCCATAGCGTTTCGTTCCTATCACAGATTTATGCGGCATAAAAACCCGGGAATGCATATTGTGTGAGGTAAATTCCGCGTATGTCCACACCGTCAAAATTGATTATCATAAAAAACTTGGTCCAGCGATCTCCAATCTGAGTTTACAGCCTATAAGTTCTCGCTATTCAATAAGGTATCGCTATTGATAATGTTAACAGACGTTAATGCGATATAAAGCGTCTTGATAACACGTAATTGAGTGTTCGCCCTTGGCAATATCTAGAGGCTATTACGGTTCATGTTTTCATCCCGAAGTTGTAAAGCGTTGTGCGGGTCAGCTTTTAAGATGGGACTATTTGTGGCAGTACATTTTAGAAGAAACTTACTTGTGTAACAAACTACGCGGTCTGTCAAGATATAGTGCCTCGACCCTCGCCGTTCATTGCGTTTGTCATTAATTTGTTCTATTAGGTTGATCATTTGTTTTTCACAGGTACGAATGGTTTGAAGAGTTGGAACTGCGTTGGTACGCTTTGCCGGCTGTTTCTAGTATGAGGTTCGATTGTGGCGGAATAGAATTCACCGGTAATGCATTCAACGGTTGGTACATGAGCACCGAAATCGGTTGTCGTAACTTTTGTGATACCAACAGATTGAATATGTTGGAGGTAAGTTTGTGTGTCTTTTCTAATTTTTATTATTATCTACAAATATATTGTGATCTCGGTGTCAGTAAAAATAATATAGCGCAGCGTGAGATCGCCCTTAGTTTTTTATGAGTGCGAGCTTAAGCGCATTCGTTTAGGACTTATCACTCTGTTGGAACCATAAATATATACACGTGTTTGAATCAGTGATGTTATTAACTGTGTACTGCTGATAAAAGTCAATAAAAGGTTATGCGTTTGTGTGACAGTGTTTCTACAAGCCTCCTACTTATACTCCCCCAAAATCAGCTCCCGCCAAGTTAAAATAGATCTTTTTTATCCTATTGGTAAATGAAAAATCACAGCAGATTTGGGACTCAGCAGATCCGTGTCACAGTATATTATTGATATTACTCGTATCAAAATTTCCTCAGGTCTCTTTATAATAACTCGACGATTTATTGGTGATAGAATAAACATAATAACTTTTTCATTAATGATATTTTAATTAGTATTATCAATTTTGAAAGCTGAATCTATTTGCTATACAGAAAGTGGCTCAAAAGATGGGCCTCGATACAAGGACACCAGTGAACCTTTGGAAAGACAAAGCTCTTGTTGAGGTGAATGTTGCCGTACTGCACAGCTTCCAACAACAAAACGCGACTATAGTAGACCACCACACCGCTTCTGAGAGCTTCATCAAACATCTTGATAACGAGAATCGACTCAGGTCAGTCTTTATAAGGCTAAAGAAAAAAAATTAAAGATAAATGACGTTTTATAAACCATTGATTGACAATTAATCACTTCATATATAGTGAGTAGTGTATTTGATATTTTATTTTGTAATTCAATTCTGGTAGTCTGAATCTCAATAAGTAGAGTAGCTCGGTGGCATAGTGGATAGGCGGCCCGAGATCGTTGTCGTTAAGCAATTTTTGCAAGGGTCGCTCACGGGATGGGTGACCAAATTAAAATTATATCGAGGTACTTCGTGCTTCGAAAAGCACGTTAAGCTGTTGGTCTCAACTGCATTTGCATTCGTACCTAGTCGTTAATACTCTGCAATCCGCATAGGGCCAGCGTGGAGAGTCATGGCCTATCCTCCTTAGCCATTTATAAGGAAGGCCTGAGCCCCTGCAGTGGGAACTATAAGGACTGATGATAAACCTTGACAATTATTTAATCTAAACATATGAGATATCTAGTGTTGAATCGTTAACAGATATTAGAATAGGTCGTTAAGATGTCGTCACTGGATCCTTGCAGCATGTTTTGACAGGCTTCTAGAGTAAAACACATGTACCACTACTCGCTCAGACAGTTATAAGACATATGGAATAAAGTCATACCAGTGTTACATTGCGTCTTATGTTGTAATGATTTCAAATTCAGCTACAGTAAACTTGCGGACTATAGAGAATAGAGAAACTTTATTGCTTTAGTTTAGTTTTCCTTAAGTTTTTTTTACTGCAGGCACATGGTAAATAGTAACCGCGTGTGATTGTTTAGTTCTTTTGTTTCACTAGGCTATTCATTATTATAGATTTTTTTTGCATTGCATCATAATCAAACTGATGTTATTTATTTTTTAATAAAATTTTTCTTTTATGACGTTATTTTTAATTAATTTTAGTACCTAAATTTAATTATCATATAAATCATTTCGAAGGTCTGGATGTCCCGCTGATTGGATATGGATAACACCACCAATGTCTTCATCCATCACTCCCGTGTTTCACCAGGAGATGGCTTTGTATTATTTAAGACCAGCTTATGAATACCAGGTCAGTTACTGGATTCATATTTATAACAATTATCTTATATTTTATATTTTAATCGAGAAAATATGAACAATTTGCAGTGATACAATGATTTCTATGACTATCTCATTTCCTTTATATTTATTTATAATTTGTGTTTGAAATTACATCAGTTTGTGTTTATAGTTAGAAATTAATTATTAAGTTTGTTATTTTCATAACAATTTACAGTTTTAAGCACAATAATCTTCAAATAACAATAAGACCACTTTAACAGTCTTCTTTTAAATAGGAGCCAGCATGGAAGACGCATCAATGGCAGAAATCTAAGCCAATCACAGGCAAGAGGCCCATAAATAGAAAGTTCCACTTCAAGCAAATAGCCCGCGCTGTGAAATTCACATCAAAGCTCTTCGGTCGAGCCCTCTCGAAGAGAATTAAGGCGACTGTGTTATACGCAACTGAAACTGGCAAATCGGAACAATACGCTAAGGAATTAGGGGTCATATTTGGACACGCTTTCAATGCTCAGGTAAAAAAATACTCGGCTATTTATCGGACTAAATTACTGTCAGGACAAGTCGTATAAAATATAATATTATTGAGCTGTTTTCTTCGATAAATTCTTACATAAATTTGAAGGATCATATTTATTTTAAGGTTCATTGCATGGCAGACTATGATATAACATCGATAGAACATGAGGCTCTTCTTTTAGTTGTGACATCCACTTTTGGAAACGGGGATCCACCAGAAAATGGTGTTGTGAGTATAATACTTTGTTATGTAATAGTTCGAATATGAAATTATTATTATGAAAAATAATTATCTTTACCTTACAATTTTAGGCATTCGGAGAACATCTCTGCGAAATTCTATGTGCTGATCAAGTTGGAGATGAATTAACTGGGTAAGTTTGTAATATTAAAAAATTTGATGAAATGCAAGAATATTGACAAGAATCTTTAGTTATTTGAAAAATATTTTTATTTAACATTTTAATAAATAAGGATGAATATTTTAGGAATCAAATGCTAACTCCAAAGTCTTTCATAAAGGCGAACAGCCAAATAGAAATGCAGCGATATGCCGCCAGCAATCCGAAGTTAAACAGACTAGAGTCTCTGAAAGGTAATTTTTTTAAGCAAAAAGGTATACTTAATGTAAAGGTTTTCATATTGTTTTGTACGTTAACATTAACGCTGTAAGGTTGTATTTGTTTTGTGTTGTAGTTAAATTTCTTAATTGAATTATTCAATTTCAGGAAGCGCAACAGACGCAACATCCATTGATAGTTTCGGTCCTCTTAGCAACGTTAGATTTGCCGTATTCGCACTAGGGTCCAGCGCTTATCCGAATTTCTGTAATTTCGGAAAATATGTAGATAAATTACTTGGAGAACTCGGTGGAGAGCGGATTCATGACGTGGCTACTGGCGATGAGATGTGTGGCCAGGATCAAGCTTTCAGAAAATGGGCATCAAGCGTATTCAATGTAAGTGTAAATATAGAACAGCTCTTCCTACCATTTATCACCTTTTCCTAATCCTTTATTTTAGCTACTTATTTTCTTTCATAAGGTTTGTAGTATCCTCTCTCTTTCACTGCCTGGATCGAAATCCTGTCTTTAACTTGAAGCTGAAAGGAGTTCTGCTTCGAGCAGGATTGTGGAAGGCATCTCCGACATCTTGTGCCGCATCTTGACGCGTTCCGTGCTTTGTCTCTTCAATAAACATCACGCAGAGCTAATTTGCAAACTAAGAGTAGCAACAAACTCGATTTCACAACCAGAATACTATTTCCGAAGCACTTTAAATGAAATAGATAATTGCTTAACGACAATTTTGAACCAGGAAGAGAACATTGTAATTAAATCACTACCGTGTCCACAATTAGTGACACGAACTACTTTTTTTTCTTAGCCTTTAGATAATTCCCCGAGTTTTCAATACAGTGTTGTCCGATTGAAGTTCAGGATTCAAGCTTCAGTGGCTTCAATCAAAGTTATCGTGATTGTTGTGTGAATAATCGTTGTGGGTGACTGATGTTGTCAACTAAAGGTCCGTTGAAATATTTTATTAGGATTTGTTTGTGATTCTACGTTTCACGTTATGTTACCTAATTTTGATAACAGATAATCGTGTACTACTCTTAAAATCAAAATTTTTGCCTTGGAAATAGTTCATTAATTTATCTTTATATTGTCTTTATAATCTCATAGTAGACACTAGTAATTTTAACATTAAACTTCTTCTTACTTTTTTACTATTAAGTTCAAAGCGTTTTTTTTCTTTGCTTTTCCTCTTGCACTTTAGCACTAAATTGCCTATTGTATTTTATCATTTTACGTTTTATGTTACCCACAATTATATTGGTAAACTTTCACCATACTATGCTCACTTATATTGATTTGTATTTTATACTTATGTTATTGTAAATGTAAACCTAAGAAGTTTAACGTTGGAAACATTCTTGTAAGAAGAAATCGTCGTGACAACAAATGCTTAACAAATCTTTCAATTGCATTTGAAAGGTTCATAGCGACGATATCAATCAATATTAAGCTTTATCTCCATTATATTAGAATTGACGCTAATCAATGGAACATCTGAATAGGGATTTAAATTACAACAAGTTATTGTCCTTAATGAAATAATCCGATCTTATTTTATTAAAGATACTCCAAAACATTTATATTCATGAGAAATTAAATAGATTAAATTCTAACTTGATTTTAAAAAGAACATCAATTTATTTGACACTACATTTTTTTTTCAATAATTAAAATAGAAAGTTCATTTAAGCAAAAGAGTACAACAGTAGAAATATAAAGTTAGAAAACGTTAATCTTTAATGAAAGCAAAATCGAATTGTTTCAAGTTTCCCATAGTAATAACTAATTACATTTTTATATATTAGCTGCTAGTGAAACTCTTTGGGGTGTTATGAGTTAATTGTATATGTACAAAGCTCTTTTAAAATAGTGTTTTATTAATATGTTCAGTCCTTATTGAGAAATAACTTCGTAAAATTAAAACAATTTTCGAACCCACAGTGTTTGAAACTTGATTTATTTCTGCAGGTTGCATGTGAGACGTTCTGTTTGGATGACGACGAGACACTTCAAGAGGCAAAGAGGGCTTTAGGTACAGTTGCTCTTAGTGAAGAAACAGTTAGATTCTCTAGAACCGGTGGCGGTAAGCCCCCTTCCCTACCAGCGGCTCTGCAGTCAGCTCTCAATAAACAATTCGTGACTTGCATAGTGAAGGCAAACAAAGACTTAGGCGACGCTTCCGCAGAGAGGTCCACGATTTTCATTGACTTGGAACCCAAGGTAATTGGCTTAGAATTTATCGGTGTCGTTGTCATATATATTTCTTTATTAGATACTATCTAAAATTAAGTGTAATGAAAGTCAAGGTTTTTAGTTGTTTGCTTTTACTTTGACTATTTTTATAAACTTGTAAAATAATTATTTAAACGTCTCGTATATCTTTGGCAGTTGCTGAATATTATTTTGATTAATATGTTTCTTCGTATAGTATGAAATACAAAATGAAGATAATATAAAACATCTATGTTTATTAAAAAATCATTACCACTTTCTGTTGTAGAGTGAAATTAAGTATGACCCAGGAGATCACGTAGGAATAGTTGCTTGTAACCGCAAGGAATTGGTGGATAGTTTACTTGCTCGCCTTAAAGATGTTGATGATTATGATGAGCCACTTCAGGTGCAACTTATGAAAGAAACTCACACTTCAAGCGGTAAGGTTAAGTTAATTTTCTTAAGTTGATAAAACTGATTTACAACGCGAAAGAGTTTTATATCCTTCTAGGATCTTTCCTTCTAGTTTTATATCCTTCTAGGATATAAAACGGATATTTTAGGATATTATATCCTTCTAGGATATAAAACTCGCGGAAAGCTAATAAACACTTTTTGTGGCAATTTAATTGCCTAATGTTGGAATGTGCTGCCTGAAGCCTTTAAAACTGGCGAACATGTACGAAAAGAGTAATGAAAATGGAGGAGACAAAAGTTATATGTTATAAGGTGGTATCAGTTCTCTCTGTTTACCCTGCAAGGAAACGGGTGAAGATGGAGATAGATTTTTTATGCAAGCTAAGTGTCTGGTAAAAATTAATGTTAATAAATTTTGATAATTCTTTTTTAATATTGTAATAATCGATCAAACAAACAAACAAAATTAGAAACTTTATAATACTAGTATAAATGTTATCATTATTTTTATGATGTTGTCAATATAGGACCGGTAAAATCCTGGGAGCCACATGAAAGATTACCAATTTTGAGTGTGCGGGACTTATTTACGAGATTTTTGGACATCACCACACCACCTACCACTATCCTGCTTCAATATTTGGCAACCACTTGTGAAAACGAAGAAGAGAAAAAGCAACTGAACATTTTGGCTACGGTAAATTCGTTTGCAAACAGTAACTATTACTATGATTAAGTATATACGGAGAAGGCTTATATCCCTTTATTATATTTGATAATTACCTTATCGATCATCATTCATAACTATAAATTAATTATCATCAAAATAAGATGGCAGTTTTTATTTTTAATATCAGCGTATTATAGAAACAACACGTAGATTTAATTTTCATTACAATTAAAAGTGTGAAGTTTTCAATTAACCTTTTCAACTTTTCTGTAGGAACCTGGGGCTTATGAGGATTGGCGCCACTTCCATTTTCCGACTCTGCCAGAGGTTCTTCAACAGTTTGCTTCGGCCAGGCCTAGTGCTTCACTTCTCGCTGCACTGCTTTCTCCACTGCAGCCAAGATTCTACTCAATATCATCATCACCTATTGCTCACCCAAAACGACTGCATTTAACCGTTGCCGTGGTCACTTATAGGACACAAGGTCAGTTCAATAGATTTTATAGTATTTAGATAATAAAAGTCACCATTAGGTCCTCATTATCAGCCGTTTAATGACCGTTTAAAGACCGTTTACTGCTGGGAATCAGGGCTGGCCTATGTATGGAATGGAATTAAATCGAATAGGAAGAATAGGCGATGGGCCACCACGTGGACACAGTGCGAATTGTTTAACATGCCTTCGTTGAAGGATGAGTTTCGAGATAGTTAATTTTTGATCACCTATCCTATGACCGGCCCTAGCGAAAGTTGCTTAACAACCCCGATCCCGGGCATCACTCCCATCTGAGGGCATGCCCAGGGCTTTTAGTGGGTAGGCCCCCGCCTTTATCGGGGTTGAGTCCGACACACAGGATAGTGTGTAACGCATTTTCCCTGGGTCAAAAAAAAAGGTCATATTGATCAATGCACCATGGAGCTTTAGGCCATATTGGTATTAAAACTTTAGCGTAGAAATATATAAATTGTAAGGATATTTCTTGACTTTTCGACTCCTGACAAATATATTCGTAGTAGTAGGTGGAGTAGTCGAACTATTCGTTCTATATCACAAATTTACTATAAACTGAGTTAAAAAATAATCAGACAGTATTATATATGTCGATTTGTATTTTAAATATTTTGTGTCACATAATACAATATAACAATACAATATAATCTAAAACGATTTACACTTTAGCGTATAAATAAATATTAACATGTCAAGGTAAAGTAACAGACATTTACTTACCAATTGTCAAAATAAGAGATCAGTGTTGATGTGAAGGTACTGATAGTGAAATACATATAAAACCTTGACATTAGTAAATATGTCATTATTGAATCAGTCATATATATCTCGTAGAATTAGTCATATATAAGAACAAGTAATGTAATGATTCATCTTCTCATGCACAAGGTACACGGCATACTACCTGATATTCTAGTGTAAAATCAATAGGAGTCTGAGAAAAAATAAACAATTGCTTAAACCGTTTTTTTTGGTTATAAAATTAGCAAGAGACAATTACCAGTTTGTCATTAAGACAATAATAGACAGTTAAACCTTAACATAATCCACAATCGATTGTTCTTTACAAAGTATTTAAGAGGGCATTACAAGGTGAATATTTCATTCTTCAATAATATAAAATCCCACATTGTGTAAATATTGTGGTAATCTAAAGACGACCTACTAATGATGATGTTAATAAACGATGGAACATTTTTGTAACATAAAATGATGTCATGTCCAAACAGATGGTGAAGGTCCAGTCCATTACGGTGTTTGCTCAAATTATCTGATGGATCGTAAACCAGGCGACGAAGTGTATTTGTTTATCAGAAGGTACATATTAAAATATACTATGGTTAATGCTTCATCTTATAGGCAATCAATAATAATACTCATGGGCGTTTGCCTGTTGTAATAAAAATAAGATTAACTATATTACGAGTAGATTGCTTGGATACTGATGATGCCAGCGTGATTGTGATTTTGAATATAAAGCTTTTTTTAATTTTTGAAAACATCACACATATTGCTCAGATATTAAGTTAACTAAAGCTTCCTTGTAGTGGAAATGTAAAATAACGAAGGTCCACCTATATCAGGGACAATATAGAAAAGACATCATTATATATTAACCCGAGAAAGAATTAAAAATGGGGCTTCAAGCAATACCATGAAACTGGCCATGGATGTCTTTTAAATAAACGTTCAGATTATAATGATTACTAATTTGTTAATAATTTACAGTGCGCCAAATTTCCATCTGCCTCAAGATCTATCGGTACCTCTAATACTAATAGGCCCTGGAACAGGCATTGCTCCGTTCCGAGGTTTTTGGCATCATCGCCGAGCATTACTCAACTCTCGCTCACGATCAACTGCCGGCCCAGTTTGGTTGTTCTTTGGCTGTCGAACAAAGACTATGGATTTGTATCGAGAGGAGAAGGAACAGGCTCTAAAAGAAGGTGTCCTATCGAAAGTATTCCTTGCCCTTTCAAGAGAGAAAAGCGTTCCAAAGGTATTTAGCATTTAGAATATTAGCATAAAACTTTAGTATTTATAAAATTCCAAGTGCCAGTTATAAAGAATTTTACAATTTACAGATGTATGTTCAAGAAGTAGCAGAGAAAGAAGGAAGAGAAATTCACGATTTATTGGTTAATCGCGGTGCTCATTTCTATGTATGCGGTGATTGTAAGATGGCGGAAGATGTTCATCAGAAGTTAAAAGGGATCATCAAGAAACATGGAAATATGACAGATGAACAAGTACAGAGTTTCATGTTTGTATTAAAGGTATGTTTATCATAAGCTTTCATGACATATTTTTTATTGTAGTGTTTTTTTAATTATTTATTGATGAATAATAACTACATATCAATCGTATCACTTAGCGCAGCAGAATCAGGAAAGGTTTGTCCGTGCACTACTTTACCAACATATTTATATTAGCAAATATAAAACCACAGTTTGCTTATGGATTAGTTAGAATATTGGGTATAAAAATTAGCGTTTACATAATTACGAGTATAAAGTTCAATAAAAACACTTAAATATTCTACTTACTAACTAATGTAAGAAAATAAAACAACAGATACCCTGTAAAATACTTCGTATTAGCGTCCGACCGAATGGGCAACTCAACGCTGCCGCTATTCAGTTTACACTACACATAAATACACAACCTCACTCATCAGTTGTGTGATTTCTACAGGAAGTTCTAACGTATGTAACATATTATCAAATGTAAGGTTATAATGGAGGGTCTAATTTAAATATAAAATATTTTTTAGGTTATACACTAGGATATAATTTTTCTTTCCAATAGGGATATAATTATGATATTTAATTAGCTTTTTCTTTCCAATATGAATATAATTAAAGTCTTTAATTAGCTTCCTAATGATATAGATATCTCTGGCGAATTTTCTATTTGGTGAACAGAATACACATCAACATTATATATCTATTTCATTTTAATTGATCAGATCTATGAGGCTGATTCATACTGTATTAAATTCAAATTATTAGATGAAAGTTAAAAGCTTAACAACACAGTTAATATCATAAGGAGAAAAGGTGAAAATCACTGTTTCTTATCTTGTGCCTTGTTCTCTTGAACCAGGAGGAGAATCGTTACCATGAGGACATATTCGGCATCACACTTCGTACAGCAGAAGTACACAATGCGTCACGTGAATCAGCACGCCGCAACCGCGTTGCCGCTCAGCCATGACGCCGGTCCTCGCGCTTCCGTCCCAATACATTCACCTAGCCTAATAACTACGATGACAACACCAAAATGGTTGATTATGGCTGTTACTAGAAGAATGTTGGAACATCATCTGTTATCAGCTGTACCAAGAATTAAATCTTTGTCTTTTTAAGATTATCGGTACAATACACTTTAACTAAACTGACATTGTTTAATTCAGCAATATTTTGTATTACATATTGTCACCGATTTATCAACTAATATATTAGCTACCGATACCTGATGATTTCCATTTGTTTGTCTAAATTACGAAAGAGTAATAATAGTTTAAATGAAATGAAATTGTTGTTTCAAGGCACAAATAATAATAAAAATGCCTATTAGTGTTTCTCGACGATCTCGAAAATATTGTATTTTGTATTAGTATAAATTTACTAAACAATTATGTCGCGCTATAATTAAGAGTATGAATAACTGTTTAATATATTTATATGAATTACTTTTTTTGTAGGTAATGTAATTAGTTATATATCATTATTTTTCATATAAATACGTTAATTACTAACAGAAAAATTCAGACAGATAAAACAGAAACCAGAAAGCAGATTTATTATATAACCATTCAGCTTTAGAATACTTTGGCATTCCTAATTAAATAAGCTCTGAAAGGAAAGTGAATATTCCGAGAAAGTCGTCAATTATCCATTTGATTTTCAGCTTTGGTCTCAAACCAAATATCGCAGAGGTTGTGTATAAACGTGGGTCCTTTGTACATAGTACTGAAACAGACATCCTCAAAACAGTTACTATAAAAGATTAATTTAGAGTATTATTTATTTTTTGAATGAACTTCGAGAGCAGCTATATTAATATTTATAGATTTATTTAAAAAGGATTTTAAGCAGGGTGAACATAATTAAATAACGCACAAAATGCATTATGCATTGGTAAATTATCAAAGCAAATTAGCTTCAAACATGCGTTGTATTAAATTTTAACTGAAATATTCAGATACATAATATAAACTTAGGTATAATTAAATTTTAATAATAAAAATCTAATTAAAAATTCATCAATGTCATTTAATTACTATCAAATATTGTCCATTTAATATTGATAAAATACAAGTATAATTAGAAAACTAAGCTACTTTTTAATTAATTTAGGCTATATTTGGGTTAAATAATAATTTAGTTTTATTTGTATTAAATCGGTAAATACAACGAGGTTTATTTATATTTATTATTATATATGATATATTTATTATTGCCAAATCTTGTAAAGAATGTTGTGATTATTTTGATCTATTGTAAATAATGTTTACCGCTAAGTAAATAAATTTACCTTTTAAGATATTTTTCGTTCTTTTTTTTAATATTTTTAGTATCTTTTTTTTTTGAATGGTTTTTTAAGTCACAAAATGGATGAAATAGGTTCTGTGTATTTTATGTTATCTTAAAACTAATGTGTGTGAAATTGTGATTCTTTAACTAACTAATTATAAGAAATATATTCATATTTTCTAATATTCATGTTACAAGAATTTAATATACAACAGTCTTTTCTGATATATTGTAAAATTTATATAATAATAATATAATACTTTAATATCTGTCTTTACAAATATGGAATTTTCGGAATCTTCTAAATTTGAAATGCACACGTTGTGATCGATATAAATTTATGATAAAAAAAACCATAGCATATAAGAATATAATTGTATGTAATTATGCACCATTTCATCTAATAAGGAAATCTGTTTTAAAATATTTATGGAAGAAGAAATCTATAAAAAACTTAAATAACTGCATTTTGTCTGTTATTGATCAAATAAAGTTCCTTCATATTCGAAAATAATAATTGTCTATTATTTTGAATTTTTCCATTCCTCTCATGAAAATTTACATACCTACATAGATCCAGTCATACTCAGAAAAAATTGCCTTTATAAATAACAGAAGGATATTTATAAAGGCGATTTTGTATTCGTAGATGAGGGTGTGAAATACTCCCTCGTCTATGAATAGATGAAAAGTATTAATAATATAAAAACGTAAAAAATAATTTAGATTTGTAAATTTAAGATGTATACTGAAACGCAAAGATTGCCCAGAGCCGGTGTCATTAATTAAAAAGAAGCATTGAAAAAAATCATTTACAAGCTTTTGTCTCTAAGAGGGATTCGTTATTAATAAAATTTTTGAATAAAGACTTTTTATACATCCGTGTTTGAAATTGTATTTTTTTTTCTGTGTATTTTACGCCTTCAAGTAAAATTAATTGGAATACTGCAGAATGGACCAGGATGATTTCAGTCAAATATCGAATACGGAGACGGATTAACGTATCTTAAAATTATTATTCTTTCATTTCTATTAGCTTACCGAAAGTAGCTTTGCGTATGTGAATAATTTTCTTCAATAATAAATTTGAATCCCAATTTACCCAATAAAGGGTGAAATTTAAATAATCATTGATAGGTATTTACTCATTTTACTCTAACTTCAAAATGATGGACTTACATACAGATTTACAAACCCTATTTTACACACTTAGATATTAAATTACCAAAAATCCTTCACTAGTCGTTAGTTCTAAAGCAAAATGACAAAGTTAAATTGAGAAGTGTTGATTTATTTGATCGGATAATTGTTTTGACCTGGTGTTTAACTTAGTTTTCATTTTATAATAAGAGGGCAATAGCTTACACTCAGCGATTATGAATTAGTCAGGCTAAGTTATTAAACAAAAATCTTCCGAACTAATTTAAGTGCAGTGATTTTATATTTTTAAATATGTTTCATAATTTACAATTTCCAATGTTATTGTGTACCCCAAAAACCGTTTTCAAAATAAATTCTTTAAAATTATAAAGTCGGTTAAAATTATAAAGAAATTCAAGAAAACTAATTTGAATTCAGCTGAGGATTTGCCCACATCGTGTTTTCAAATGCGACATGAATTTTTTGAACTCGAGTTTAGTTGAGCTAAAATTTAAGTGGGACAATAAATATTAAATACCATCTTATTTATATCTCTTTATATACGGTTAAAATAAATAACATTTTTTGTACATTATAAAAACGTATAAACACTTTTATGCATTTAATGGATTTCCAAAAACACTAAAACTTTTTGCACTAACGAAAACCGTTGATATTCATAAATTAACTAATAAAATACAACTTTAACATGAAGTGTAACAACAACTTTAACAGGAATGAATCATTGATCGAATCAATTTAAATATATAACATCACGCTGCAACTATTAGGAGCGAAGAAATAATGGAAAACGCGGACGCAGTCGCTGGCGGCCACTAGTTAATGATAAAGCGTAGTTTATGATTACTATTATCTTAGTCATTAATAATATATTAACACTGTAGGTAAAAACGGTTAAAATATATGTAAAAGTAGTCATTAATTACAAGAGGGAAGCGAAAAGGGCGTACCGAAACACAACAACGGACCAGCCACGCGTCACGCTCGCTTTGCTCGCTTGCTTGTCAACCTTACCCATTACCGCCCTCTGTACATATATGTTCAGCTTTTTTTGTAAAATTTCATCTTATCCGAAATTTCTCATTCTTTTACTAGATCATGCTTTTATCAGAACATTTATTTTACATAATTTGCAAAAGTATCTTACGTTACTAATGCAAGCATCTTCGGCGGTAAAGTGATGACATAGCAGATACGAGTAATCAGTCGTTCCGAACCTCGTTCTGCCTATCTGTCATATTTTGATGTATCGAATCATAATATGAATAAACGACCAACTTTCGTATCGTGCTCGTAAAAAGTCTGTCATACGGATTCACAGTATTTGGGGTGTAATTTGCAATTTATGATTTTGCTATCCTTTTTTTGATCCGTGTCGGTATTGTCCAATATTCTAATTTAAATACGTGTTTATATTACAGTATTGTTTATCTTTCAAAACTTTATTTTGAAACTATTACTACTTATATTATTGTTCAGACAGCGTGTCGTGTGAATTATTTAAATTAAAATTAGGCAACGTTTTATAAAGCGTCAAGTCTCAGAGGTGATGCCATCAAAGGCACTTCAACACAACTTTGATAGCAAATAAACCTGAATCATGTTGCTTTAGAAGATTTTTCTAATAAAACAGTTGATATCAGCTTTTGACTACCTGACTAAAAAATAAATTATCTACTCGATAGATCCTTGGACTAAATTAGTGGTTGAATGACACTTTTTTCCTGCCTACACCAACCTGCCGTACAGTTGAATTATTATTTGTAACAACCCATACTTTTAGCATTTCATTATGGGAGACAGATATTCGAGCTTCCTCCTCTTTATCGTTGCTAAAACTTTGAAATAGATCTAAGTCTCCATTTGGCCTCACCCACTATTTGGGCTCAGGCTTGCCCAATGGATCAAATTGATTATGGAGAACGTGGGTCGTACAGCCGTAACCAATGGCTTAACGTCCCTTCGAAAGCACGGAGCGACTGAAGGTAATAAATTTTTGATGACTCATCCTTTGATCGGCCCTTATGAAATTTGCTTAATAATCATATCGTGATCGCGCTAATCACTGCGTTATTGAGCTCCTCGATTCGATTCGAACCAAATCAGCAGTGGATGCAGAAATTCACGTAATCCAAATCATGATTAATATACCTATGTATAACTCATTGGAAATAAAGTGACCACTTCAAAAAGTGTCTGGGAAATCACTTTATATTTACAGTTAAGTGGGTTATAGGTATGTTATTATTCCGATGACTGAGGGATATGGTACGTCATGTTCATTTCTGTTTACTAGTTGGGGTTAAGATCCGCTGGCGATGAGTGCGTAACACAAAGCAGTGTTGCATACGCGGTAGTTTTAGTATCGATAAATGACTTTAAAAATGGTAAACATTCGATTAGACTGTCACTTGTCACTCAATATTGACAGTGAAAATTAGAAAGTATTGCTAATTTTTCTATAGTATGGATAGAATAGTAATATGTTAAATTCTACAGTTTAAAACGAAAAATATT